ATTGTAATGGCAGGAGTGGGGTTTGAAAAGGAGCAGAAGCAGAAGAGAAAAAGTGGGAGAGAAGAGGCTGAACTATGGCCGTGGGAAAGGAGATGGAGAGAAGTAACGAGACAGGGTATGTGCTGGAGGGCGTGGAAGAGACTTCCTGTGATCCTTACCTGGGATCAGACTGGATTACTCAGTAACTCATGATAACTCATTCATGGGGCTCAACACATTGAATTTAGCTTTGCTACTAACCTACTATGAAATCGGGAAGAATGACAAAGGTCAATGTATAATAAATAGAAAATAATTAGTACCACATATGTCAATGTCCTTTCAGTATCATTTCAAAGGGCCCAGTGTTAACAAAAATCTTTCAATTAAATTTGGGCAGTAAACAGTTAATAGTTAACTAAAGTAGTTAATTTATTATTATTATTATCATTAAAATGAGAATTGTTTTAAGGCTTTTGGAATTGAGCTTTCTTTTTGTTTCTAGTCCAAGAAGGGTTTATTTTTGTTGATCTTCTTGGCCTGGTGTAAAATCTATCTTTTGAGATTGGCATTCCCCAGTGGCTAAGTGGTGAATTGTGCTGTCCAGAAAGTTATTGTGAGCTCTACTGTGGTTTTGGTTCAGTGGGTTTTTATGTATTTTTACAAATTTTGTACATATACCCAGAGGCTTTTTGGCAATGGCTACATTTTGACATTCAAGAAAATAAATATGAGCCATTTAACAGTCTCCAATTCTAGATTTAGCTTTTTAAATATATTGAAATATGTATATGAGGAATTTTCTGAAACTGGGAACAGAGACTAATTTGGCAAAGGTTTTTACTAATGTTATAAAAAAGGTCTTTCTTTGCAGCTCATTGATTATATATTCTTCAGGTTATGAGCCATATTTTTGAATCTCAGCTCTCTATCTTAGAGGAAGTATACTTAATATGCTGGGTATTTATTTTGTATTTCTTCTGTCTGGATAAGACCAATGCTAATTGATTTAACCTATTCTTGGGAAAATTCTCAAGCTTACAGTTAATGTGAATTGCAGTCAAAAGTACAGTAAAATACAAAAGGCTTTACTTGGGAACGAAGAAAATTTATTTTTTAGCTAAAGCAGAGCTATTTCAAGAACATCAAAGATGTATTTGCTAACTTATCCCCTCCCACTTGGCAAATTTAAATAATCCACTTGCAAAATAAAGCCCAATGGCACATTATATTGAAAATTCAATTTATAGTGAAATAAAACCCTATAATTCTCATATGTACTATTAGCCCTCCAAATCGACTGTTAATCACATAAGTAAATTAATACCAACCAAAGGAATCTTATAATTATTGACGATTAAAATTTACCGTAGTCAGGATTAGGTAACACACACCTTGGGACTTGCCTAGGACCTTGGAAATGTGAACCTGGTTCAGCAGGTTATGATACACACTGGCACATAGATAATGGCAGTATTTTAATAAAGGGGTATTATTTTGTGAATAATTATAATGAGATTATGTCATGAAGAAGGCATACGAAAGTGTCGAAGGCAGCAGTAGTAGTTTGAGGCATAGAATCCTTTGTTCTATTGTTATTTTTTGCCTCATGCTACCCCTCATTTTGGCCACTGTTTCCTCATCTGCCAAGAGATGTCAGCGACTCTCGTCTGCTACCACTTCGAAATGTTGTCGGGGATCTCATATTTTGCTTGGTAATCCCTTGAGATCTTTGGATGAAAAGAACCATAAAAATCCAAAATGTTTTTCTAGGTGGGGGTTTCCAAAATTGGTCCCTTTGAGGGAGCCACCCACTTGGATATTGAATACCCTGCCTGTGTAATGTGGAAAAAGCGGTTTGGTGAAAACTTGCTCTTTTAGCATCACCAAAAAAACAGACGTCTTCATTGTTTAAAGTGAAACACACCCATTGGGGATCACTTCATCATTTTTTTAAGTGAATGAAAACATCACAAGCTGAACTGATGAAATGCAGGATAAGTGCAAATAGACTACACCCTTCCTCTTTCGGTCACAAGGAGCCGCGGTCTGCCAATTCTCCCCAGTGCACCCTCCCTGTCTAGGAAAGGGCCCTAGTTGGCTCACTAACCAAGTCGGTATCTGAGCTACAACTAATCATGCCCCTGTTGAGTCACCAACAGAGAGTCCCACAGACTGCTTGCTTTCCTCTTTGTGGTGTAGGGCGGTGATTGAAAGACAATCTTTTCCCTGTCATTTTTTCTCTTTTCATCTGCTTCATTTTTTTCCCTTTTTTTTTTTTACTCACTTTCTTTTCTTCCAGGATTAATTATCATCCCTCTCTTAACCCATCCTTTTCTAATCTCAAGGGCTATTTTTTAAAAGGATGCTTGTTCACTGGATGATACTCTCCAAGGGCTCATTTGGAAAAAATAACAGTGTCGTTTGTCCCTCCAGCTGCCAAAAGTCATCATGAGTCATGCTTTTGACTCAATTTACAGAAATACTTAATATAAATAATTGGCCTTTCCCAGAGCTGCTTCTTAGTTGCCATTCTGTCTTGTTGGTTTCAACAGACTGATAGGATGCAGCATTTGACCAGAGTAGCTTCCCTAAGTCCTTTATGTTTTTTTTGTCTCTATTACACTTTGCTAAAGCAATCAGATGGAGTGGGTGATAAGCAAAGTACATCATTGTCAGTGAGCTCTAGAGTATCTTGTTTGAAACATTTTTACAAGGTTACTCCCCTAAAATTGAGCATATGGGGTTCCTTATTTAGCATATGAGGTTCCATATGCTAAGTAAGAAATTAGGTAACCTGCTTTCTAAATAATATTATTACTAAATAATATTATCATTTAAGATTATTCCTTAATAATGTCACTACTACAACTCAATATTAGTTACTTTGGAGCCATGAAGAGAAACATTTTTTTTCAAATAGGCAAAATATTTGATTTCTTACTATATTATGTTTAGCACAGCCCAGAGAAGCTATTGCTGATAATTACTATTTACCTTGTAAAGGAACTTTTTAAAAGTTGAAAAAGGTGACTCTCAAACAAATTTAAAATAAACATGGCAAAGTTTCCTTTAACTCACTGATGAAGTTTATCAGTCAGGGTTCAACCAGGCAGGCCTGGTTTATTCTGTAGGAAGGTCTTAAAAATTTCCTGACTACCTGTGTAGAATAGGGTATATAGTTATACTCTATTCCAAATGTACATATCTGTTAATTTTGTAAATCAATTCCTTGAAATTGATTGTGGAGACTGGTTAAGCAAATCTGAAATCCCATAGGTCAGAAAATCAAGAAGGGATGATCACAAACAGTCTGGTACCCAGAGGTATGGGCCAAAGCTTTCTACGCAGAGGTAGTTGGGACCTAATGATTAGGAGCAGCCTGGAATCCACCAGGGCCTCAGGTGTGTCCTCAGAAAAGGCTTAAATACTTTTTAAGGCCTTCCTACAGAATAAATCAGGCCCATCCAAAGTAACATTCCTAATTTAAAGTGAGCCGATTAGGTACTGTATTTATTCCTGCAAATTCCCTTCATAGCAACAACTGGGTTGGTTAGTGTTTGATTGGATAAGTGGGAGGATGCAGGTTCATGCTTCCTTTCTGCCCCCCTGTTCTCCTGAAGGATCTCTCCTGTAGTCCACCACATCTGGAAATATGCTACAAAGGCAATACTGGAAAATGTAGTTTTTCTTAGCCGAGTTGGCACACCACAAAGCCATGTGTGAATATTTATAGACTGCACGATGATCTGTATCCTCCCAAAATTTATACATGGACTCTTAACTCCCAAAGCGATGGTATCAGAAGATGGAAAGTTGGGGGGATGATTAGGTCATAAGGGTGAGGCCCTCACGAGTGGGATTGGGGTCTCATAAAGGAGCCTCTAGAGACATTCACAGCCCCTTCTGCCAAGTGAGTACAGAGTGAGATGCAAACCTGGTTCATCTTTAACAAGGTAACAAAACTATAACATTTGAGACCATCTTTTTTCATCAGAAAGAATCATTTATATCTCTACCAAACACAAATCCACAAGTTAGGATGTAACTTTATAAACGCTGAGTCCTAATTAATGATAAATACCAAGTGGAACAGAAGGAACATATGCCTCGATAAATGACTTTCCCACGGGCCTGTAAGATAATGTTCCAGTGTGATTTCGAAAGGATGTGCAGACCTTTTTTTTGTTCATTGCCAAGTTTGGATAAATGTTCTTAACAACTTATATACTTTAACTTCACTCATTATTAAAATGATAACCTTTTTTTTGAGGGTTTAGATGTCCTGAAGTGTCATGTTCCATCTGTTTAATCAGAAATTATGGTTGATTTTGCAATATAATGGTGAGACCTGCTCTTCTCTGATCCAGCTACATACGATGAATGCCATGCCCTTCTTGGGAGTAGGAGTGTTCTGGGGGTACATGGGGTGACTCTCATACTCCCAGGTACAGGGGTCCCTTGAATCTGCAGACCTCAAGCAATTAGAGAGGAGGAAAGAATGAAACTGAGATATTCTCATTTTACTTCAGACCCTGAGTAAGTATGATAGAAATATTAGAAAGCAAGAATAAAAAGGGGAAAATAGAAGATCATTCTTTTTACTTTTGCAATTTTTCCCCAATTATTCAGTAAATGTTTCTAACTATACATTTCAAATACACCTTGAAATGACAATTTTGGGGGAAAATGAAAAACATCATTTGTGCACAATTGTTCTTCATCTGACTTAAAACAGAACAAATACTTGTAATAGACTTGCTAAATTCTTTGTTGAGATCTTTAAAAACAATTGTTTGAGTTCACCTCTTATGACAAGCAAGATACTACATGTTGTAAATAATAGAAAACCATGTCTTACACTACAAATGCTAGTGTTATGAACAAATTCATATCGATATGTGTCCAAACAACTGTTCACTTCATTAGCAAATCATTGCAATACGTGGACCACGAACATCCGACACATTTCTTTCTGAGTCCTTTCCCAGCCATCATCTAATCAGATGGCAAATCATTATTTTAATACTTAAAAGCATTTTCTAGGTGTTGTTGCAGAAGTGAGGGGAGCCAAGTTTGATAAGGTAATTTTGGTAATAGAAAGGTATTAGCCTCAGAAGCTAGTGAGGTGGTCCATTCTATGGTAGCATAGTGTAAATTAGTTAATTAATTAATAAAATTTAATTCAAAGATGTTTTTGTTTGTTTTACTTTCTGGCTTAAAATGCTTCCATGATACACACTGCCTAGTGGGTCAGAGCTACCTGCTTAAGCACAGTCACCAAGGCCCTTTGCGACCTGGACCTTATTATTTCTCTAATTTAATTTCCAGCCAACAGTCAGCTGCTGGGTACTATACCTCTATCAAAAGTGAGAGAAAAGAAAAAGACTTGTTATTTTCCAAATCCTCACATGAGCCTTGCTGAATCATGTGTTCATGTGTAATTAGCCTTGCAGGAAAAGCTCTTTACCCACTGTCATTCTGGAGAACTATTCATCCAGGGAAACTCAGCTTAGGCTCTTTTCTTCTCGCTTTTCACTATCACCGCCTCTTCCATCCAGGCGGCTACATGATACTTTTCTAGGCTGTCCTGCCACTCTCTGGGGATAACTCTGTAATAGCTCTTACTTTATACAGGGTTGGCAAAAATAGTTTACAGTTGACAGTATGGAAAAGGACCTGCAGGTTATAATGATTACAATAGCTCTAGTCACTGTCTCTCATACTCCTAACTGTAAACCTACTTTTGCTCACACTGTCTCAGTGGTTGGAAAGGCTTATCAGCAGCTTGTTTACTTTCAGGGGCAGATGCTTTGCCTTCTTTTCCTTGTTCCCTGAATGTAGCTCAGGATTTGATTACATAACACTTGCCTATTCAAAATAAACATTTGGCTGGAGCCACACCACGTCCATTTCTAACCGGTGTCCAGTTGCTGCTCCTGCTGCACAGAGACCACGATTTACAAACTCCTTCTGTCCATCTACACACAAATCAAGGTGCTGAGCAGAAATGTGTATATTTAATAAAGGCTTATCCAGCTCAAAATGTTTTAGTTGTAGAGGAAATGTTAATACAGAACATGGCTTGATCTGTTCCTTTCTAAATCAAGAGAAATGGAAAGAATGGATACATTTTATTTCATCTTATTTAGTAAAAAAGATCAGTCTGAGTTTTCACAATAATTATACATTCTCCACTCTCATCATTTTCCAGTACATTTATTATGTTTTTTTTATGCCTTGCAATGCTAATTTTTCTTTAAACTAGTGGAACTTGAACTTTTTTGTCAGGGTAGGGGGTGTTTGAGATTATCTTTTTTTAAAAAAATTCGTCTTAAAATGCTTCTACAGTGTGCACTGCCTACTATATCTGCCAAAGCATGGTGGTCGAGAGCCTTTATGATTTAGGCCTTGTTATTTCTCAAATTTCATTGTTGGCCCTGTGTGGTCTGATTCTATGTGCAGTTACCTCCACCAAAAAAACGGACTAAATCTTCACATGAACCTCATCGTATTGTTTTCCAAGCTGAAGTAACCATATGAATGAGGACCGCCCCCCCAGACAAACGCAGAATTTATTTATTAAAAATTGTGTATTTATTCTTACGTGTTTAAACTTCAGTCACCTTCCCCATCTTATGCAATACACCTACCAAGATGTTTTCCACTGCCCAAAACAGTTTTGATTTTGATGCATTTTAGTGTTTCTATCATTTTTTTCACCTCTTTCACATTGGCAAAACATTTCCCTTTGAGGACTTTTCCATCTTGGAAACAAACAAACAAGCAATCAGAACAAAAAGTCATTTATCACAAGATTGGGTGAATAGGGAGGTGGGGCGTGGGGTCATGCCCTTTTTGATTAAAAAACTGCTGAACACTGAGTACAGTGTGGGCGAGTGTGCTTGTAAATTGCCCATCATGAAATGGGCAAATGTGTTTAAAGAGTCTTCAAAATAAAAAATCACTGAAGTTGAATGCAGCCTCTCACAACAATGCCAGCTGGTGCACCAATACAGATAGGCTCTGGGAACACTCACCTAGTGGGAGAAGCATATGATATAAGAGGCCTATAATGGCTATGGAGAAGCTGTGCAGGGTCCTGTGCAGCCACAGTGACAAAGAGCAGGGCCTGACTGCAAAGGTCCTAGATGCCTTGTCCCTTAATTTCAACACCTGCTTAAAGGGGTGTGACATGGGCTTTGTATGCAGCATTTTCTGTTCTCTCCTCAGAACTGGATTGCTATGGCCTCCTGGTGGCACAAAACTTTTTACAGTGTTTTATTTCCCTGGGACTATAGCAGCAGTAGTCAGTATGAGCTTTTAATGGGTCCCATGAAGCAACTGAAGAAAATGTTTGACTCCAGGTTGCCTGCAACAATTACTATTCTTTCGGGTTTCCAGTTTACCCTGTGTGGTGCTCTTTAGTGACATATGAAAGGACTGGACTTAGTGTCCTGCACTTTGTACTTCTTATGAATGGCCTGGGACAGTACCTGTCATGTATCACAGATCCAAGAGAGGCAGTAATTACATGTGATTCTTCTCTCCTAAACTGAGAATCAGAAAGTCTTTGAAAGGAGCATGTGAAAGCTGCGCTGCCATTTTTGGTGAAGTGTGCTTTTCCTAATATAGTAAGCACTCCATAAACAGCTGAGGTGACAATGTAAGGCCATTTGTATTCTGGTATGAACCACATGCTTGATTAAAGGGTTACATGCTTGTAGCTTAAATTCATTGTGCATCATTAACAGACCCTTCCAAAGACAAGGAGATTTTAATCATTGCCACTTGTAAAATATTTTTAGCCATTTAAAAAATCTTTTCAAAATAGCTTTGAGGTGTGATTATTTAAAGATAAACCTGCAATGTAAGACACATTCAACTTTTGGGGGTCCCTTTAAAATGTCTACATTTTTAAACATGGCAACAACAATCTTGTAAATGTGAAAGTTTTAACATTAATCCAAAGATGGCTTCTTATGTGTCATAAAAAGAATACGTAATGTGTTTACAATTTTTAAATAAATCCACACTTGGAAATGAAACAGTTTACTGGGAGACAGGGGAAAGGGTTTATTGTTTAATCTTTATCGTTTGTGTTTGGGATGATGATAGAGGTTTTGAATTAGAGTTTGGTGATCATTGCACAACATTGTGAGTGTAATTAATGTCACTGAATTGCACACTTAAAAAAATGATTACTCTTGCCAAATTTTTTTAAAAAAGAAAGCAATAGAAGCAGATACAGATGAAGCAAAGTATGTTGAGTCACCAAGGTGGCACTCACGATAGCAGACTGTTTACATTTCCTGTGCTTTTCTCGGTGTTTTTATATGTGTTAACTCGCTGTATCCTTGCAACATCAGAATTATTCTCCTCACCTCGTCAATGAGAAAATGAGGCACAGGAATCAAATGACTGGGCGAGGCACTTACATACTGAACAGATCGCAGAGTCAGGGCTGAGACCCAGGAAGGTTGTCTCCAAAACCCATGTGTCATCCGTGCGTGCATTTTCACCATGTATTACTACCTCTGCCCATCCTTCAGCTACATGCTGCACGAGGAGAATGAACCCAAGGGAAGTAAATATTAGAAGTCAGTCTATTATTTTTGTCTGCTCTGGTTTTATAAGACAAAAAACTTTACAAATCTGATAACTCCCAATCGACAAATTTTATACATTTTTGGTGTGCATGCTGCCTTTTCAGGTGTCTTTTCAGTAAATGGGGAAAGGATTCCCTTTCAATGATTCAAATAACACACCATTACTGATACACATATTTACATCCACCTTCCTTTTTTTTTAATCTGGTGAGAACATGTAAGTTCTACTGTCTTAGTACATTTCAATTATACAATACAGTGTTGTCAAGTGTAGTCATCATGTTATTCATTAGATCTTCAGCTCTTATTTATTTAGTAATTAAAAGTTTGTACCTTTTACCAACATCCCGCTATTCCCTGCCTGGTTCCTCCTCCATCCCAACCCCTGGTAACCACTTTCCTATTCTCTGCTTCTGTGAATTCAAGTTTTTCTTTTCTTTTTTTCCAGATTTTATATTTATAAGTGATACCATGCAGTGTGTGTCTTTCTGTATCTGTCTTATGTCATTTAGCTTAATATCCTCCAGTTTTACCTATGTCGTTATAAATGGCAGAATTTCCTTTTTTAAGGCGGAATAATATTTTACTGCATATAGCTACCGTGTCCTCCTGATCTAGTATTTTGCTGATGGACACATGGGGTTTTTCCTACATCTTGGCTACTGTAAATAATTCTGCAGGGGAGGACCAATATCTTTTCAAGATAATGGTCTTATTTCCTTTAGGTATATACCCAGATTGCTGGGTTTTATGTAATAGTTCTATTTTTAGATTTACAAAACCTCCACACTGCTTTCTATAGTGGCTTTACAAGTTTTCACTCACAGAATAGATAATTTTAAAAGAGATATAGTGAAAGTTACAGTAAAAGTTGTTTAGAAATGTAGCTTCTTTTACTTCTTAGTAAATGGATTTTTACAACATAGCTGGTCTACATTCTTTTCAATTTTTGTTCTTTCTGCTAATTGTAGCTTCAGCAACCCATTAAGTTTTATGGAGATCAGAGTGCATTTGTCAATATGTAAGACTTTCCTTGAACACCAGTTTTATCTACAAATAAATCTCCCCACAACGATGAGAAGCTAGAGATATGCTGGTGATATGTGCCTGCCTGATTCATGCTCCTACTGCTTCCTTTTTTTTTACTTCAGTATTGTTTTCTGTCTAACCACATAGAGAACTTGAGAATTGTTCAAGGGATGAGTTACAATAAAATAATACAAAAATATTATTTTTGGATCATATTATCATATACATCAAAACAGATTGCAGTAAAATATTTATAATACTTTAAAAAATGTAAGTACTCTTCGTTAAGTTTTAATAATCCTAGTATGAGATTTAAAATATTTTAAGCGCAACCCAGAGGAACTTTATACGTTTTATATGCTATAAACCAATGATGTCAGAAGAACAAGTATGGCCTTTTATTAGCAATTATGATTTGTAGCAATGTTTATTGCCAGTTTTCACAACTCTCCTTCCTCTTTTTTCTTGCAATCAAGTTTTGAACTAGAGCTTTTGGCCCCTGGGATCAATCTCCAC